GAATAATTTGTTGAATGTTTTGCTCCCTGATTTGTAAATAAAAAATTACATTTTTGTTTGAATTTAATATTCCAGTTAACCTTCAATTTTTCCAAAACCTTTTCTAAATCAAGGGAAATCATATCAATTGATACTTTTAATTTTTCAGTTTCAATATCATATTTTTCAAGTACATAATGGAGAGTTTCTATTGAGTTGCATGGACATGGTTCCTTACGACATCATATTCTTCTTTTAATAGGTCATGTAATCTTCTTAATTCATTTTCCATTTATTAGTAAAAAAATCTTATTAATATCCAAAAGGATACAGTATCATAATTATCTAACATTCTTCTTTTATCAAAACTGAATGTATATGTTTTATTCATATTAGTTACTTTTATATCTCTATCTTTTTAAATTTTAAATTGACTAATTTCTACATCTATGTAATTAGTTTTTCTTGTTATTATTTTATTTCTTTAATCAAAATTGAGTTTATTTCTGTTTCATGACTCACTTTAAATCCTCTTAGTTTCCCAAATTCTCTGTTGTTATTCAAAATATAACTATAATCTTTGGACGCACCTGATATCCACGATTTGATAAAAACCTCATCGCTCCCAAGTTCATCTGTCCATTCACCTAACATACAACCCGTTTTTACTTTTATTGGCACCATCATCAATATAAATTATAGAATCTGTATCATAATAAATTACTTACTAATAATCTTGTATTGTGTCCAACATTTTATAGAGTCTTATTTTAGCTGAACTGGTGGTAAAAGTTGCTATATACATATTTGCATTAAAATTATCTTTTACATATTCATCTTTCATTTTAAATTTCATGTCTACTCATTCATCATTCATAAATATCATATTTAAATTTTTAATTCTATCATCTAATAGGATTTCGTAAAATTTAGTGAATTTAAACAAATTTGGGCTATATATCTCATTACCTGGATTTTCTTCTATTTTCTCTAGTTTTATACTTACTTTTTTCTTAATAACCTTTTTATATTCTTCTTTACTTTCATACTGTGTAGACCATTTATCATCTGTTTCTAATTTAATTTTCAAAAACATTTTAACATATTTCTTGAGTAATTCCTTTGTTTTATTTTTAAAGTGCCATCCTTCATATATATCTAAAATTTTATATCTTTTTTCAATAGCTAATTTAACTTCTTCGATTTTCTAAGTTCCAATAAAACTTCTTTCCTCATCATTATGTTGACATTCTTTATTTCTAATTTCATAACATTCTTCACATTTTCTCTTTTCTACAATAGTTTTAAAATGTTTACATTGAACAGGTTTTGAACATGTTTTACATAATGAAAATACCAATTTTATATAACAGGTAGTAAAGGATGATATAATTTTCTAGGTGCAAGTACTTTACATTTAACCAAACCAGACCAATTATTGCCAAATTTTTCAGGATTATAAATTTTAATTAAATGTCCGATTGGATAGTACTCAAGATAGTTAACAGTTGGATAAAGTGAACATACATCAATATATCTACCTTTTTCATTATTTTCATTGTATAATTTAATTATGAAGGTTCACATTTACCTCCTCTAAAACCATCTCTGGGATTTAAAGGTTCTACAAAATCTCTTTTCCATTCATTTTTTATACCTCTTTTAATTTCTTTATTGTTGTCAAAATCACATTCCCATATCACAACGAGTTCATAACCTGATTCTTTTATCTTGTCTTGAATTTCTGTTGTTTTTTCATAAACTTTTACATCCTTTTTATGCATATTTACTTCACTTTCAGTAAAACGTTTTGTATATCCGTGCCAATAACAGCAGTGAAACTGAAAAACTGTATTATCATAAAATCCATCTGCTTTAAGAGTATTATCATTTATAATCAATTTCTTTTCTCTTCCATTGAGAGCATGCTTTATATTGATTTTATGTGATCATTCGGATATTAGGATCGCTTTGCTGAAGTCCTACATGTTTGTTTACGAAAACATGGAACAACATCACAGGTTATGATCAACAATTGAGTTGATATTATTATTATAGTATAAAATTTATAAACTAAAGTAAACGTCAAATAAAAGATAAAATTTGCCAAATTAGGTCAAAATAGACTATAAAAGATGGCAAACGACACAGAAATTATGCTAATTAAAAGGTTAAGTTGCCTAAAAGCTTATTTTCATTTTGAATTAACCATTTAAAATTACACAAAAAACAGGATTAGTTTGAATAATTTTTTAGCTCTTCAGGGTGATCAGACATGTTATGTCGCGAATTTTAGTACATTAATATTTTGTTTCAATTATTTTTATTTGTAATTAATTTATATTTGAAGATGGAAAAAAAGTAATTGTAAAATGTTAAGAGCTTTCGCTGGTTATACTTGCAACGGTTGTTCTGTAATAAAGACAAGAAACTTTACGGATGTCACATCTGCTTTATGGCTTTTGATTTTTACTAACAGAAGAACTGCAGGCAGTTGGGGTGTTAGTCGCATTTCTTCGCTGGGGCGCTCGTTTACTAATGGGGCAGTATGAGAAATTGTAAATCGGCTTACTCTTTTCCACTTGGTTTTTCGCTTTGTATATTGCAATGTTTTTTTTCAATTCCCTTCAGGACATTGGGGGTTTTGTAAGTTTAGGCAATTGAATTTCTTCATTTTTCCACTTGCTAGCTGGGGGGGGGACTATTTCTCTGATTCAGGGTACGGATGGCCAGTACTTGATCAGATTTCTTGTTATTGATTCATTGTGGGGATGTAATTTCTCAGCTAAAGATAAAAGTCTGGGGTTGGTTGAAATTTAATTTTATGTTTTCCTTTAAGCATATGAACAAATGCGTGGCGGAGAGTCCGAGATTTCTTGGGAAGTTGCACAATGTTAGAAGTCATTCATATTTTGGAGCTTGAAAAGTTTAAGAAAAGAAAAAGAGTGGCGGGGCTCTCCTTATGTGGGACAAGCACCTTAAACCAGCGGGATGAGGTTATGATTCATTCCAATTTGAGCTTGCACGACGTGAGAGTTAATTCAGTTTTTGAACTGCAAAGAAAAAGAGAAAGATAAATTGTGGTGGGGCTTGACCTCTTGTGGGTCTTGCGCACGCGGATGTTGGAGCAGAGTCTGATATGGACCGATTTGAGCAGAGGCGATGTGAAAGAAAAAAAGGTCGAAGTGAGTGATGTAAGGTTCAGCTTCAAAAAGATCAGGGAGCATGTTGCCCTGTTGCGGGCTAGCCCCACTGCCGACATGTGTACAGCTAGACTTGTCCTGCTCGATGTAGAACTTCGAATCTCTTGGTTGCTAGAAGCCGAATTTCAGTGGTTTCGCAGATGTTTGATGAGGATCGATGAATTAATTTTTTTGTCGTCGCAGGTTTTCAAATCATCTGGTTCAGTATTAGTGATCTACATCTTAGTACCTTCAACAAATGATGATACTTCTTCAGCCTTATATGGACCAATAGTGTTATCGTGAATTCTGCCATGCTTCCGTTAAGCGGTTGCTGAGTGTGACGAAGGGTTTCTGTCTACTAATTACATGCATCAATGCCCAATAGAGTTATCGTGAATTCTGCAATGCTTCCTTTAAGGGGCTGCTGAGTGTGATGAAGGGTTCCTGTATACTGACTCAGATGAGTAAATGTCAGATGAGTAAAAGTTGTTTTATTATTTTTTTTTTGGAAGAATTATAGGTTGTGCCTTAAGTAAAATTAAAAATTTTTGTGACTAAAATATGTAATTTCCATAATTGTAATTTCTGTTTTGTTACCAAAGATCAAATTTTTAAATAACTAAGTTTATGTGTAGAATAATCCTAATAATCATTTGGTTCTGTTAAGTTTTGAAATTGTTCTCAGTAATGACTTGAAGTAAAAATGAGGAATGCAACTCACTGTGTATGTAAGGTAACTGATCGGTTATCCATTATTTACTAATAATTTAATATTCTAGAAATTTAATAAATGTGCTTGTTTTATAATTTTATTGCATTTGTTTATTTTGTGTGTAATTTATGGTGTCAGGTCACTGCATTTGTTTCAGCCGAAATGCTTTTAAAAATCTTGGAGCTTTTATTAAATTTGGTGTTTATGTTATTGATTTTCCTATATTTTGTTACACGGGTTACTCCCAATGCAACCCGTTAAAATTATTGTACTAACCACTTAACTAGAAATTAATTATATATTTATAGATTTGATGGTGTTTTGGGAGTTCTGGGGTATAATTGATACTTAGGTGCTAGGATTGAAATTAAACTGATTGATTTTTACTAAGTCTTTGAATCTTAGTTATAACAAAGTATATTATATTTATCTGCTTAAACGAAGAAATAATATCATAAGGGAATTGTAAGGAAAATTGGTTGATATTTACATTACGCAGCAAGAAAATCACAGAACCACATAGCCGCACACAATCAGCCTGTTGAGCTGCAGGAATAAAGCCCAAGATGAGGTACCAGTTTTCATGACTTTCGTTACTTAATCTTTGCTAAGCTTGAATTTAGAATGAAGATGGTAGATGCATTCTAGATGGCTAATTATGTTTCTTTTCTTTGATATTTAGCTGCGAATAAAGTAATAACAGCTCTTCTCATCACAAGATCCCAAAGGATTTGAATAAATATTTTTCAAAGTATGCAAAGTTTATGAAATGAAATTGTTATAATTATCACACCTGAGTACATAATGATTCATTAAACCAGATTGTAAAAGTAAATTTGCATGCCTGCTAGTAAATGCTGTGAAATCCATAAAGACACACACTCCAAACTCATGCTAAAATTTGATGATGTCACTTTGCTTATTTCACAAATCAGTTGATTTATTATACAATGTGAAAAACATTCTAATTAAATTTCAATAATTAATAAAGAATATGGCAGTCTAAAATTTCTTACAAAATATTTAAATCGATAATTACAAGTTTGCTTACAGGAAAAAAACTAGATAACTTTAGTTAATTTCTGTGCTATTTTTTAATGGCATAAAATGAAAGAAAATCAATATTTTAGCTAAGATTCTTTATTTACTTAACAAAAAACGATTCAATGAGCTAAAAATATACACAGTTGAAATGAAACTCTAACAATACACTTAATACCAATATGTTTTGATAGGCACTCTGTCTTCTTTAATTCCCATTTGCTGCATTATTTCTTGTTCAAATGTCATTAGCTTAGGTTTAAATGTAATTTCTTCAACTGCTTTTGCTGGTGTATCTTTAGGTTGTTCTGAAAAGAAATGGGGAAGAAATTTAAATTTTAACATTAACAAAATATTCCTTATAAAATAAACGAAGAAAAATTATTTCAAATTGTATAGAATAGCTTTTACAGTGTCATAGCAATATGAGCTTTCAATACATGATAAAAAAAAAAAAAAAAAAAAAAAAAAAAAAACAGCAAAAATTGTACTTGCAAATTAAACCAAAATCATATGAATTAAATCAATATTAATTTTATTTAAACATAAACATGATATTATACACTGCATATGAGGAAAATAAATCATTAATGCGCATTAGCTTAATTATTATCCTACAAAAAGGTAAATGAAAAATATTCTTTTAAAGAGAATTGAAAATAGAATGTATTTTTCAATAAACATAGTACAAAAACGAAACATACCAAAAGTAAAGCAACGAAGTTGATTTTATAAAAGAAAAACTTATTTCAGATGGTTCTGAAATAAAACAAGCTAAAAAATAAAACTCTATCATATCATTTTGAAATATTTATCAAAACACATTATGCTTAATTTTCTCAGAATCAAAATATTCCAAGTTGCAAAAATGGAATGTAGTGTCACTTTAAAATAAGGCAGAAGAAAATAATTGCGTTTTATTTTAAAGTTATTTCCTGAATATAATTTTAATATATCATCATTATTTTTGTGATATTTATGAATGATATCATGTTTGTAAAAAAAAAAATCGTCCAAATATTCGCAAATCTTCGAATAAAAAATTTTGTATACAAACTGATCTTGAAATTGCTAAATTTAGTGCTACATAATAAAAGAACTCACGTTTCAAAAAAGGAAAAGTTTTTGATGTAATATTTTACGAACTCTTCACCCACAGAAAAAGAAATAATTTTGAAATGTTTATGTTTTATTCGAGGCAGCGCCTCATACCTACCTCTACCTCAAGTATCCACCTTTTATATTAAGAAATAATAATAAAGAATTCTAACATTAACATGTCAAATAAATATTCATCAATTCGTTGCCAAAACGCTAATTCAGATTCGCTGATTCCAAAATGCTAATTCAGATTCAAAATAGCTGTAGTTAGAAAAACAGAAAGAAATGTCAGATGAGTAAAATTAAGGACCTTTGCTGATTTGGGCCGCAATTAAGAATTTTTATGGACCAAAAATAGTTCAAAAAAATCTGAGGTCTTTCAAGTTCTTTTAAGGCTGAACAAAATCTGCTAATGTGTTTATTTTATGATAAAGACTTTCTAAGTTTATTCAACTTTCTAAATTTATTCGAGTTTAATTCTTGCAAAACTGAAAAACATTATGAATCCATTTTCAATGATTATTTACCACACATTTTAAAGATTTTTTAAATACTGTGTACAATTATTAATTTACAATATTTTTTAGCTATACATATTAAGCTAAAATATAGCATGCTTCATTTTTTAATAAACTCATTTAGCATACTCATCATCAATTAAAAAAATTAAAACATACCTTGATAAAATTTTTTACTCTTATAATCATAAGTTTCTTGAGCCATTTCAGGCACTGGAATAATTCTACCAGTTCTTACAGATACTCGAACTTCTTCACCATCATCAGTAAACCTCCATACAATTTTAGTTGGTTTGCTAAAATTGTTGAATAGATTTATTACATTCCTTTCAATAAATACATATGCATATTTATATACATAAACAGAAAGGAGGGAAAGCACCATCTAATATTTTTTGTGTTGTTCAAAGATCAGCTACATAATTAAAACTAAATCCTATTTATTTTAAACTGTAAAGATTTTACAAGCTTTTAATCTCTGTAATTATTACAAAAAGAAATAAAATACTGCTAACTAATGAAATAATAGAAAGTGATATAGCAAAAATATTCATTGAATTTACACAGTAATCCATATATTAATTATATGTTAAAAATTCAGAACCTGTATCAATCAGAAATTTAGATATATATACACAGACTTCAATTGCTGTATTCAAATATAATAATATAAATTATTATATTTAAATAAATATGTTATACAAATTCTAACAGGATCGAAAGAGTAAGCTAATATGTTTATGGTACATGCTTAAATATGCTCTGGTTAAGCACCCTTGATCACAAAACACACATTCAGAAACAATCCACTTAATATATATTTTTACTCTCGGATGTTCAAGCCTGTTAAAAAGATGACAATACATTAATTCCTTATCACCCACCTAGTCCTACAAAGTAACTGCAATACAGATCACTATATTATTGTTATTTTTCTGAATGTACATAATTGTCGCATAAAATTTTTAAACTAGTTGCATAAACTAATTAACTACCAAATTATGAAAGAAACATTGACACATTTAATACATGCACAATAAAAAATTACTTTCTTTCATCAAATATTCACTGTTTTTATTTCAAATTTCAGATTAATGACATATTTTTATGTCAGATTCATTAAATGTGGTTGAAAAATCTCCATGTTGTAAGCAAAAAGCATGCAAACAAACTTGGAATTTTAAAATAAATCTATATAATCTAATATTCATATTATTTCCTTGAAATTGCATATTAACTTTCGCACAGCAGTCAAATAAATCATTTCCTAGTTTTTATGATGAACATAAAAAAAATCTTAATCAGTTTGTGGCTTGGACATCAATCTAATTGCGACTAAATTTTCACTGAAAAGTGTGAGCTCAAGCCTGTTATTTACATGACTGAAGTTACAGAACAATTTGCCAAGCTTTTCTCTAGCAGTTTGGCACACTGTAATACTGTTGAACATTGAAATTGTTATGGGCTAAAAATATCTAACGACATTCAATGGCCTTGCATTTTTTCAGCATATCTGCAGTGTTAAAATTGTTTTTGCAGAGATTTCATCAATTTTCCGCCAAAATATTATTTTTTTCTCTATGGTATAATCTTTGATTGTAACAAACCAAATATCATTAAAATATTCTTCCAATAAAATAATTTATTCAAAAAGTATTTATTAGTAATCCTCATAATAGTTTGGACAGTCAGGAATTTTGCTGATATGTTTCAGCATGCATTGTTTCTTGTTAAAATTTTTGTTTTAAATGAAAGAACATCATAAGAATTTTCATCTGCATTTGGAAACTTTTATCCCTTTAGTAAATTAACTGTTCCATGTCTGATGGGAATACTACAAATTAATGACAAGTTCTATAAGAAATTTAGATATTCAACATTTTAAAAATTGTAAAAATTTTCAAAATAAACTTCATGCAAAGCATTCAACTATCTTTGATGTTAAAAAATGATGGAAATTGTGTGGAGCTGCTAAAAATGCACTGAAGTCTACACCACATTCAAAGTTAACACCAAGGACTCAAAGACTTATCCTTCACAAAATTACACAAGACTCAAATAATACTGCTATAAAATTTATAGCCAATTTATAGACATGCTACAAACATGAACAGTGAAATTGCTAGAACAGTCATCAGAGTATATGGATACAGTAGGCAATCAGCAAGATAAAAATTTTTCTAAACAAAGAAAATACATTTGGCGTTTGCAAAATGCACATGATGCAAAGCACATGATGCATGTCATATTGGAACATTGCCATATTTGCATACTAGACAAATTTAATGCATGTGAGTCTGGTAGATGAATTTCTAAGTGAAGAAACTGAATGAAGAACAGAATCCGAAAAACCTGCTCCCTACCGATAAGCACAGGGGTGAAGGCACGACTGTTGGGAATATTTCGTTACCTCTGGGATGAGAAATTTAGTTTTTATAGAAATTAATATGGATGGCTATATATAAGCATTCTTAATAAAAATTTGAAAGCCCCTCCAAGAAAACTTGGAATGCAAAACAGATTCAAGTTCTATCAGGATAGCGATTTTAAACATAGGCATAAATGTTCACCTGTGGTTATTATACAAACTGTCCAAAAATTATCAAAACTCCTCCACATTCTTGAGACTTACAGAGGAATTGAACCAATGAGGATGGATCACTATGGAGAAATAAAATGTTCTTCATGAAATCATTAGTTGAATTTCTGCCAAAGTAAAAGAAAAGCATAATTTTAATGAAATACTGAATAATCCATTATTTTCTCATGTATATTAAATAGAAAGATTTATTCAAAGTGTCCAAATATTTACGCGAGTTTATTTCCAGAAGCTTTTGGCAAAAATATTTTAATGCCAGGAAAGTTTTGCATATTTTTTTCAAAACCAGTAAGTGTTTCAAAACGATTATTGGACGCATACATGAAAGGAAAACAGGTCATTTCACAAATACTTATAACTAATATTTTCAAACAAAGCTAAAAAACCCAAGTGCTCAAAAACAAATGAGAGCCACAGTGTAAATTCACAGGCACATATGAAAAAGGCATGCAAAATAACATGAATATAGTGATAATATACTGGTAAACTGGCCCTTTTTTTGCTTTTTTTTTTTTTTTTTTTTTTTTTTTAATGGCAAAGCACACAAGGATTATTTACTTAAAGGAGGGATGGTTTGTGGAGGGCTTTAAAAGGGAAACTGGCTCATATCCATGTTACACATGGGAAAAAACTATGAAAACACCCATACAGCCATCCCGCTCACCTGGAATTAGATCAAATTACTGGTGTTCAGTGACTTCACCACTCAGCCACAGGTGGGCCTTTTTAACATTTAAAGATAATATAGATAATTTGTAAAGATGAGTAGTCATGGAACCATCATATCAGAGGTACTTCAGTGATTTAATAATATTCTCTGTTATTTCTAAATTAGTGGTACATGCACATCAGATAGTTTCATAACAATGATTTCAAAATTGCATCATTAATCAAAACTGCTTTATACAGATTGCTATATTTTATCACTAAGAAAGTAAAGCAAGCATAGAAACATTCATAACTTGATGTTGTTCACACAGTTGCGATTCACATGTAAAAACGCACATTGTTAGGAGAGATTTGTTTGTCTGTACAGCTTACTAATATAAATATACAATGAATAATGCAATATAAGAACATGTAGCAATGATAGTTATGAAAAAAAATAATGTACATCAAGCATTTCAAATCGCAACATCACTAATGAATTTTATCACCAATGGTCCTCAATGGATACCAATAGATAGCAAGATCTTATGGTCATGTCAACTTATAAGATCTTTTTGCTCATAAGCTACATGATTTTCTGTATATTTATTAATACTTGATAAAGAATTACACAGAAGAGGAATATCTGATTGACATGCAATATGTGAATAATATACATATCATATCTTTATAAATGATAATCTTCCTGCAATGATCTTCCAATCTCCACATGGCATTAACATATTAAACCCTTATCACTCCTATCGACATGCGCTGCTAGGCGAGACATTTCTGAGAAACGAGATTCTAGTAGCACTGGTTTATATGGGAGGCTTCTGAGAAATGTTTCGTCTAGCTAGGCACAACATATCCTGGCTATGAGCAACATTTTGAAACCTTCCGGAAAATGTTCCGTCTGGAGACGTGTTCCGCGTATGTTCAACCAATCAGACGAAAGTTTTGCTTCTGAAGGATCATGGGTAATTTTCAATATGGCGATGGCTCTCATTATGAAATCATGGACGGTGAAATAGATGCTGATTTAATTAAATACAGTCAAAAGTCTTTAATCTGGACTTGTCGGGACTTCGGCGATTCCGGATTATCAATTTTTCCGGATTATAGATCATCAGTTTAAATCTAGTAAGATGGCATACAGAAATTCTAAAATTAAAAATATGAAACCGTAATTTATAAAATAATGAGCAATTATGATCTAAAGGGTATCAAAATTTACCAAAAAAGAAGCTTAATATTTATTTGTTTCCTTTATTAAACATTTCTTTCAACGCGCGCATGCGTAAAGCATACCTTACACATAGCCGAAATTAGAAAATTGCAACCAGAAAACTATTTGATTTGTATTCGTGATATTTATATAGGAATTTGATTTAAATCATATCAAAAGACGGAGTACATCGAGATGAAAATACTACATTTAGTAAGGAATTATAAGCCGAATAAAATAAAAACATCTGCCCTGAAGATAACGATAGTGCTGACAGATCAACTTCCAGTTCATTGCGCGCCGCGATGTCCCCCCCCCCCCCCCGCAGAGCAGCGTGAAATTGATAAACAGATTTCGGAATACAATCTTCGGATTCGGTTAGAGAAACAAAGGATATGCCTTTATCCATTTTTTGTAGCAATTCGTTTTTTGTTTGATGGACATCGAAACATATTTTCGTTTTCTAGATAGATCCTTTGGGAGCTCCAGCATCGGAAATTCTATTTGACATAATCGAAAGTTCAAGCTTACTTAAAATTACTATAAAATTGCTCTTACAGTCTGCAAAAAATAATAAGCCGGATCCAATTCGAAGATTAAGGAACAACGCAATCATCAACATTAACTGAAATAAATAATTAGATAATTTTAGCTTATACCATCTGTTATACATTAAACGCGCACGCGAAAACGTATTCTGCACTTGCGCAGATGCATATGCGCAGTCGTAAATGTTTTGTGCACACGCGTAAAACGCCTATGCGCATGCGCAGAAAGATTTTAGCTTTGAGGTCCAGATTATGGGTGTCCGAATTAACGAC